TCATCCTGCGATACTAGAGAAAATAAAGCATCCTTTTTATACGCAATACTACTTTCCCACATGTTTTTCTGGTTTTTCAATAAAGTTATACCTATCTCTGCTTGAGTAGAAAATTCTATATATTTCCTCTCTTTATCTTTGGTATAGGTTGAATATTCTTGATGTATAGATTTTTGAAGAAGGATATAAATTTCAAATACAGATTCTAGTGCCTTATCAATAAACGCATTAAGTGGAGTATATGCGCTTATAACCCAATCATACTTTTCCTTTAAATATTCTTTAGTTATTTCCCCAGAAAACACTTGAATATCATTAGAAATGATATTCCATTTTTCATTAAATTCTTCAACTTCATTAGCAATTTTTTTCAAAAATTGTTTTATTACTATTTCTGCTTGATTAATAGATGGGCTAATTCTATTTTTTATAGCTTCTATATCATTTCTAATTTTCGAAACGGCTTCATCTTCAATGCCAAAGTCATCCTCATTCTCAGGCATAACGAAAGGCATCCAGGACTGTGAAATATCCTCAGGACTCTGAATAAATGGAGAGGCCGATCTTTTATTATTAAATTCAGCGAGTTGCGAATCCAACTCTGAGTCTACACTATTTTGTCTCTCTCTCAATTGTTGGGATACTGTTCTATAATGCAATGTATCCTGCGCATTTTTAATATTATTTTCTTCGAGAATATCTTCAAACGCTTTCAAATCTTTCATTGAAGAATCAATAAGATTATCATCAAATTCTCTTTGCGCGCCATCTACTGCTTGATAAGATGCTATCTGAGTATCTACTACTAAAGGTGCATTATTTGATGTATGCGCGCTTATTTCAGCGCTAGAGAAGAAGCTTCCCAAATCTGCTGCTGCTAGAGAAGAAAGTAAGTAATCTTTTTTATCTTTATGATTAGGAATTTGGCCAACATCATCCACTTTTTGCTTACTCTTTACCAAAGAGTGAGCATGATTTGGTAAAGAGCTATTGGCTTGCGTTGTTTCAAAATCTTCTGCGACATTTCCCAATGGCAGATCAAAAGCCACACTGGGCCTTCTAAAGCTATTCATAGCGTTAGAAGAAGAGCCATGTATAGGTGAAGTCACTCTCATAGCCCTATTAGCAGTAATTTCATACTGCTCAGGAAGTTTTTCAAATGTAACTGGATTGAACCAAGAAGAGCGTTTTGCCATTTTTGATTCGCCAGCCGTAGCTATTTTTATTTCGGTAGAGGGCCTGCTATCACGGGTTTTCAAATTAGCCAATTTCTGAGCGATATGGTCTAACCGACCTCTCATTCCTTCTGCTCTAACTAGCGCACTATTAGTATCACATAGCTGCTTTTCTAGGGATTCGGCTTCTTCTTTTAACGCATTTAAATGCTCTTTATACCCTCCCTCACCCAAAGCGCCGATAGCTGAGCCGATAAGCTCTCCCGTCACTACGGTTAACGCATAACCACTATGCGTAAAACACAGGCATACGCCAATAGCGAGTGACAATCCACCTAATACTTTAGCAGTCTTTGCTAAGGCCTCAAAACGCGCTTGCACCTCGTCACTTTCAAATAACCTAGTCTGAGCTAGTTTTTCAAATTTACTATGCAATGCCGCTATCTTTTCCTCGACTTGCACTTTTTTATCTTTTTGCTCACTAATTTGACTATCTAATATAGATTTTAAAAAATCTACGCTCATTTCTGCTAAAGGTATAGATTCAGCCAATTGATCTTTAGCGCTATTTAGCGCAAGCATACTTACATCGGAGACTGCATTGTGAGCACTAGGGCTTTGAGAAAAGTAGATGTGCATACCATTACTTCGCCTTCTACTTTCCTTCGAAGTAAGAGGAAGTTCCTGCTCATGTACTTTATCGTACAGCGCTTCAAATTTATCTATTGCATGTAAAGCTTCAGCTTCAGAATTAATGCTTTCAGGAGAGGGTACACTTTGATTATTTCTTACCATTATTTCAGAACTATTTCTGGTAGTGGTTAGTGCGCTTATCATCCTGAAAGCCTTTAAAAAAATAGAGTAAAATAATTAAAATTTAATAATAAGTTTCTAGGGAAGACTAATATAAAAAATATATACTTCAAAAAAATGTATAAACCATCTGCTCGCATAGAGCAGATAACTACAAAGTAAATACCTTACATATACTTATCAGGCAAAATAACTCTCTATGATCCAATGTGTCACAGATTCCCAATGCTTTTCTTCGCACTCCATCTTCGATGGATGCAAATTACGAATATTCTTACATTCTACTAGATCAGGAGGCATGACATCAAAAAGCGCCTGCCCATTACTCACAGGAAACACTCTAGGCTGCCGCACAGCAGTATCAAAAAGCGCTTGCCCATTACGCAAAGGGAGCTCTTGAAAATCACCCACCCAACGTGCCCTATTACTTGGAACAGGTACAATCGTACGCATAGAATTATTTCTATATTTTTAAAGTTATGGCAAACGCCGAAGCTTACTTGCAAAAAGTTAGGAAAGCAGCATGCATAACACCGAATAATCTTAATTTATCAATAAGAATAGTCTGCAGTTACGCAAACTTAGCCGCATAGTGAGTCTTTTGCTGGAGAGGGATGCTATAAAAGAGCATGAAAAATGATCGCCATAATTTCGTTTACGGATCAATCTGTTCACATTTTTTGCATAATGGCAGTAGGAAATAATTAACCATTATAAAAATAAAAATCATCCACACCATAAACAATGGGTTAGCGCCCCCCCAACAACAAGCAAATCACTCAATGCCATCTGGGATCAGACCTCCCAGCACTGACATGATCAAGAGGACCTCATTGGGATAACAATGCACGCAGGATGTCAAAAAATACTAAAACACTAAACCGTACTTGAGAGACAGGGTATGATAATGCTCTCATTTTTTGATAGGGCCCCTTCTGTCCATCCCATTTAATCTAGCTGCGCTTACGATGGCTCTGTCTGATTAAACCCAGCATTTATCTATACCCGTTATGAATATTGTTAATCTCGCTGCCTATCTCTTTGTTCCAATCTGCTCACCCGCGCAATGGCGCGAACCCATCCGCACACGCTGCAATGAACTGGGCCTGCGCGGTACTATTTTGCTAGCGCCTGAAGGTATTAATCTATTTGTAGCTGGTACGCGCGCCGCAACCGACACTTTTATACATTGGCTACGCGAAGACCCTTTATTTGCAGGTCAACTGGCGGATCTGGAATGTAAAGAAAGCCTCTCTGACAAGCAACCCTTTCGCCGGATGCTGGTCAGATTAAAAAAAGAAATCATCACCATGCATACTCCAGCCATCCAACCTGCTGGCCAGACTCGTGCACCTGCAGTCAATGCGCAGACCCTCAAAAAATGGTTGGATCGCGGACAAGATGACCATGGGCGCCCAGTCGTGATGCTAGATACGCGCAATGGATTTGAAATAGACCTCGGCACTTTCGCTGGAGCACTAGATTACCGGATCAGCAAATTCAGCGAATTCCCCGCCACCATCGAAGCACACCGCGAAGATTTCACCGATAAAACGGTGGTGTCATTCTGTACGGGTGGTATTCGTTGTGAGAAAGCAGCTTTGTATATGCAAAATATCGGCATCGAGAATGTATATCAACTCGAAGGCGGCATTCTCAAATATTTTGAAGAAGTCGGTGGTGCACACTATGAAGGCGACTGCTTTGTATTTGATCATCGCACGGCATTAAGCCAAGAACTCAAACCAACCGATACACAACAATGCTTTGGCTGCCGTGCAGTACTCACACGGCAGACGCAGGCCTCACCTCATTATGTACCTGGCAAACATTGCCCACAGTGCTATGAAAAAAGGGCAGCGGCTTAAACAATGAAAACCATTACTGCATGCGATAACCCCTTTTTTAAACGGCTCAAACAACTCGCCGGCACCGTCACCCGCGAGCGCCGGGCAGGCCAAGCGCTTGCCGAGGGGCTACATTTAGCCAGCACCTATCTCGATACGCTAGGACAACCGCTTACCTGCATTATTGCGGAGCGCGCGCTGTCCGATCATAAAATGCAGCAAAGCTTGCATCCAATCATGGCACGTATTGATCCAGCGCGTATCGTGGTGTTATCAGATGCGCTCTTCGCACAATTATCGACATTAGCGCGCGCAGCACAAGGCGGCAATGTGATCTTCCTAATTGATATCCCGGCTCCTGAATTGCCGCAGCAAATTACAAGTGACTGCATCATTCTCGATGGTGTGCAAGACGCAGGTAACGCTGGCTCTATCTTGCGCAGTGCAGCCGCCGCCGGCATTCAATATGTATTTTGCGCACCAGGCACAGCGTGTGCATGGTCTCCCAAAGTACTGCGCGCAGGGATGGGGGCGCAATTTCTACTGCATATATTTGAATGGAGGTAGACCAACTCCTGCCGCACCTTGCCGTGCCATTGGTCGTCACCGATTCGCACAACGCAACTTCAATCTACAAGCAAGATCTAACAAAACCTTTTGCCTGGATCTGGGGCAACGAAGGCGCTGGTGTCTCAGCAGCCTGGCGTGAACACGCTACACAATACGCCACCATTCCACAGCCTGGTGGAATGGAATCCATTAATGTCGCAGCTGCCGCTGCTGTTTGTTTATTCGAGCAGTGCCGCCAGCGCAACGCATAAATCCAATCAGCTAGCCTGCCATTTAAAATCATCGAGCACGAGGCGAAATCACCTGCCAGCAAAACGGTAACAATCTTGCCTTTGTTGCTTATAGTGGGGTGTCAGGGTCAAAACCGAGGGAGGTCATGAGCGGTTATTTGCAAAGAGCTTTGCTAAATTCGCTGAAGATAGGGAATCGAATAAGGCCAACAATCAGCCGTTTATTTCAAGAGCCATTTTTTCTGGCTCTTAGATATGTAGGCGCAAAATTGCGCCTAAGTACGGGGGGCTAGCATTCTGGAGCAAAAACAGCCAAAATCGTGCGATATCTTTTTATAACCTATTGATTTTAAAGGTTTTTTTGGCGGAGGCGGTAGGATTCGAACCCACGGTACGGTTGCCCGTACGGCTGATTTCAAGTCAGCTGCCTTCAACCACTCGGCCACGCCTCCTGATACGCATATTATAAAACTGAAGTATACCTAAACAGGTTCAGAATTTACTCAAAATCTATAACAAAAACGCGCAATTGCTTTTATTTGAAACAGTTTCGTATGGCAACCCATGCAAGAAGCATTGCATGAGACACTCAAACGACAATCATAAAGAAAGGCCCCTTCGGACCTTTTTAGCAATTTTGAATATATTCTAGGCTCTCATTATATCTGCCTTGCCGCTTTGCTGGCGGGTTTTTACAAGTGGTCCCGCATGGTCCCCCTGACAGGAATCGAACCTGTATCTAGCGCTTAGGAGGCACTCGTTCTATCCATTGAACTACAGGGAGGTAGAAGACTTAAGATCTATTCTTTCCAAACGAGCATGCAATTGTAAAGCGCAAGAGTATAGCAAAGAGAGCGGGGGGCGTGTTTTTGCTTTTCAATATCGATAGGTTGCGCAGCATCATTGGCTGCGCAACCCGTTTGAATATTAGAGGACGGGCTTTCTTGGCCTAGAGTAGGTAATGCTAGGATCTAATGAGCCACTTGCTGTAAGTGTATTGCCGTCTCCTGTGCCTGGACTCGCATTCGTAGACATATCATCCTTTTTATTTTGCCCTGGGTCCTGCGCGATTCCCAAAGCGACATTACATACATGTTTTAGAGTATAGCCGTCATACAAGAAGAAATCAGTCTCTCTCTCTCTCGGTTATTGTTTTTGCTTGTTTCAAAATTATTATAGTAATCTTTTATTGATAAAAATACATAGCGCATTAATTCACAATCAATAGGCTCTAATCCACTAAAATCCATCACAGGTCTATTTCTGAGCGACTTAACTTTTAATAATTCTTTAATATTCAAAGACTTCCTATAAGAATTATTTAAAAAATATTCAATACTATATTCTATATTTCTCTTAAATTTTTCTACAGCATCCAGACATACTTGACGCGCAAAATCTTTCTCTTTACTGTGCATTTTAAATACATGGTTACTGATATTTTCTTGTTCGCTCACTCCATCATAATAATGAAAATATTTTTCAAGACACTCAGCAATAGTGTCCCTATCAAATTCTTTAATTAATTTTATAAATTCTCCTTCATCAAAACCTTGAAGACTTTCATTCGAATAAGCGCGTCTTATTTTTCCCTTAGGGCTAGATATAACAAAACTTCGACTCCCATTAGAGAAACTATTATTTTTATCCAAAATTTCCGTTTCAAGTTCTTCAATTTTCATTTCAAGCTCTTCAATTTCCTCTCCAAGCTCTTTTTTTATTCTTTCAAGTTCTTTTTTATCTTTCTGAGATTCAAATATAGTATTTTTAAAATTACCTATATCCTCCTCCAACTCAGATTTATATTTCTCTAGCTTTAAAATATAATCATTCCTTCCAATATTTATATTTTTTAACTTTTCCAATTCTTTATTCAATCTGTCTATTTCTATATTTTTATTTTTATCTATATCATTCAAACATTGAATTTTTTTATCTGCATCAAGATATTTTGCTTTATTTCTATCCCTGTCCTTTTTTAGATCTTGCATCTCATTTTCGTAAAATTTTTCTAGATTAGAACTATCACTTTTTAAGGATTTATTCTCTGATTTCAGACTTAAAAATATTGCATGTTGCTCTTCAAACTGCATAAGCTTCCTAGTAATTTGTGCAATATCATCGATAAGTCTTAAATTTTCCTTTTCACTTTCCCACAATTTTTCACTTAACAAGTCTACCTTTTCTTGATTTTGAGAATTTACAGAAGGGGAAGATAGAAAATTCTCTTCATTCTCTATAAAAAACCCTGTTGGCGAATTTAAATCTAGCTGCGACTGATTATTATAATTAATATCATCTGTTTTTATATTAATGCTACTATCTTTTTTAGATCGAAAAGATGGTGCGTTGTCATTCCATTTTTCGGAAGGTAGTTTTTCTTTTTCTTCTAAATTGCCTTGTGCTAGCGCATCAATAGTGACTCCATGTATTATTTTTATAGGAAATTCACTTTCTTCAAGGTGCCCATTCGGAAGCGATGACGAGCCAGATGCATTTTTTTCACTGTGTATTATTTCATGTATGCTTCTCTGGTTAGCCTTTAATGGTTTTATAATAAATTGACCTATGTTTTTTTTAGCAGCCAGCGCATAATCATTATTATCATTTTTCACCACTATATTGCGGTTACCTGCATTAAAATCTCTTTTATATTTTTCCTGTTCTCTCGGTGAAAACTTTTTTCCAGCCTTTAATTCGGCATCCTTTTTCTCCAAGACATTCCTAAATTCCACAAATGCTTCATATAAAGCTGGAATCTGTGCAAAGGATTGCTCTGTTAATGATATATATTCTTTATATTTAATATCTCCCTCTACCCTCTCGCTATCTATAGACGCAGAAGGTTTAGGCATAACTTTGCCTATTGATGCAGAAAAATTTTCAAAGCTACGTGTATATAGGGTAGATAAAAATATTATGGATGACACTTGTGCAAGTACTGGAAGTGATTCTTTTAATATTTCTCTAGTTTTTTTATCGAATAAGGGATCATGTACATCTAGCGTATGTATTTTTTCGCTTATTTTTTGTAATTTGGATGTGGTAGCGGGTATATCTGGCTGATGTTTTTTAAGATCTGTACCAATGTCTGTTTCAAGGCGCTGTATATCTTCATGATTTTTTTTATCAAGAGGCGCTATCGGAACAAATTCTTTGCAGAGGGTGTTAATTTCTTCGCTTTTTGCTATCAAACTTGAGCCGCCTGCTTGCTTTTTCATCGCGTCGTAGCGCGTCATAAGCACTGTAAGCGTGCGCTGTTTTTGTTCAAGGCAAGCGGCCTCTTGCGTCTTTTTTTCTAGAAATAGTTGCTGCAGCTTATAGCCTGCTGCCAGCTGAATAAGCGTTTTTTCTTCTGGTGTAAATCTTTGTTCGTCTCTTCGTAATTGCACTACACATTGGCTTAACTGATTGATAGCAGCAGGTTTGCAATTATGTAACGCATTCGTTGCGTACTCCGACTTTAAAACGGCTTGGTGACGCTGTCTGTCAAACCACGAGCTAGAGTTGATTGAAGATTCGACACGCACTGGACTCATAAAAAAATCTCAAAAAATACAAAACGGCTTCCACGCTAACTGTATGGGCTGCTATTTATATAGAAAATAAACGGACGTTCCTGGCAAAAATTAAGCAGGAATCTAAGCTAAGAGTAAGATTTTTCTAAAATTCCTGTCATCGTATAGTGCAAAAAAAATCTATGAAATAGATATATGACCTGGTTTTTTTTAATTTATTAAACAGGTTGTGGTTGGTGATGGGCAATGTTCCCTAATATGCATGCCACTGCCTTCTTTAACGCCTGCTTAATAATTGCAAAGATTAGAAGTTGGAGGTGTGCATGTTGGGGTTCGTGCCTCACCACCAACCAATGGCATTCGGTTAAGCTCTGGAAGTTGCCCCAAACGAAT